TGGTGCAATTTCAATTGATCAAGAAAAGTATGCAAGAGGAATTGTGCAAGAATACTTTTACAAGGACTCGCTACTTTATGCTACACCAATGGAGAAGGGAGCTGTCAATGATTTAAAGGAAAATCCAGGTCGCGTATTGAACGAAGGGGAGAAGAAGAAGTACGTTCAACTCTTGGGTAAACTTATGTGGCTCAACAATACACTTTTTGATATTGTTTTTGCTGTCACTAGAATGGCATTATTCACGACGGAAGCAGGCTGGAACCATTGGAAGGCTCTTCTTAGAATTGTTGGATATATTTCTGGCACAGTCACGTTTGGTACAACATATGGGAAAAAGTATCATAAGGGAGATCCACCAATTGAATACTATACTCTGAACCATGGTGTTGAAGTATATTCTGGGTCAACACAGTTGAATGACGAAATGGGCTATGCCGACGCTGATTATGCCGATGACCAATGGGATAGAAAAAGTATCCTTTGGTTTGTTTTGATGCTAAACAGAGGTATAGTCCACTGCTCGAGCAGAAAAATGCATTCTGTAGCTAGATCAACAACTGAGGCTGAGTATGTTGGAGGTAGTGAGGCGGCCAAGAAGGTGATTTGGTTAAGAAGACTGGTCGCAGAAATTGAAGGCAAAGACTGCGCAGGTAGCGCCGCGCCGATGTTATTAGGTGACAACAAATCAGCAAATCAGCAATTCAACTAGCGTCAGGAGTATCAAACACTTCAAAAATTAAGCACATTGTTTTTGCGTACCACCATATCCTCGACAAAGTAAAGAAAGGTACGATTTCAATACAGTGGGTGCCAGGGGAGCGGCAATTAGCCGACGGAATGACAAAGGCATTGGAGAGGGCTAAGTTTGAGGCCAATTGACAAGCAATTGGGATTTCAAGCGTGATCACAAACCTCTGAAAAGCTTCACTCTTGGCTATTTGCGAGTTTTAGGGGAGTGTTGAAATACAGGGCTAATCCTAGTAATCAGGATTAACATGTGTCCTTTATGATTTTTAGACCCACTATTGTAGTATATATGTAGCAAAGCTCCCCGAGCCCTTAATAGAAATCAGTTGAACCAGTATATTCTTTTTACAAAAATACTTGCTGTTCAGCCACGCATAACCAAGTGATGCTTAGCTGTAGTAACGCTTTGACCTCCTGACTAGTAGTGCCGTCTTATTCAGCTTCATCTATCTCTTCCCATGCAGCCTTTTTGTAAACATTCCCAACAATACGCTTAGGTGAATACCTAAGCGTAAACAACGCTAAGACCGTAACACCATCGAATTCTATTGATTGAAGGATCTGGAATTCGTGACCTTGTTGCCGTCTCTATCTCCCGGATGATGGCGCAATTGTTGGCATCTCTGCCTCCTTCAATTCGTGTCCTGTTGTGATTTCATAGTAAGAGGAGCAGAAAGTATAGCTTAAAGAATATTGTTTCCATTGAAGTTCTAAGTTACATGTAAAACGCGAATTTATATCCGCATATCCTATATTTAAAGTGGGTATGCAAACAATAATTATTACAGTAAAAGCTTTTCAGCATAGCTGACTACAAAACCATTGTGTGGGGAATAAGACAGTACTGACCCTGCACCATTAATGCCATCCTATTTGTCGCAAAGTAAACGTGACCATATCTCTCCCTGCATTTGCATCTAGTATCATACTACCCCGCACATGCAAATGCATGAGAGAATATCTCAAAAGCGAAAAGAAATTAAAATGTAGAATACAGGATGTATTGTGTAGCATGTAGGAAAATTGTTCATATTTGCAAGGAATGCCAATTATCGTAAGAAATGTGGCAAATTCCAACATGTCCGCAATGGGACATCTTTGGCCTTGATAGTAAGATCTTGCTGCAAGATTTTAAATTCAGTTGGTTGTTGCATATTTAGCGCCGCGTCGCTCTGGGACACCAACTGGTCGAACACCTCGGTGTTATTGCTCCGCATTTGTTGAATCACGTGTGCGCCATCGATGTATTGTTTTACTTTTGATAGCAGCTCTTCTGGCTGCAGTTTATTGGCTTCATCGATTCTGATTTGTATCAACGTTTTCGTCATTTGCGGAGCTACGACCGACACGTTGCTCCTTGGTGTTGGCACGCCCGAAGTCGCTGCTAGAGCAGCTTTTCGAGCAGGATCCGCGAGGCTCTTCTTGACAACTTTCTCTATTGCTATCATCCTTTACTCGATTGGAGACGTCTTCTGGGACGTTCCAGTTCATGCCCTTCTGTGAGCATTGAATGCCTTCACGGTTTTGTTAACATCCTCCACAGGTTGTAGGTCCTCATCCATCTCTCCCATAACGATTTTTCTAACCTGTTTAAGTATTTTCCCCAGGATTTCTAAATTTTTATCCTTTGAAGCTGTCTATGCTCCGCTGCTGTTGTTGGTGGTGCTCATTGTAGCATTTTGCTACGCATCGAAACCGCTGGATTTACCCACACCAGTACCTAGACCTGCCATGTTGAAGAACGGAAAGCGAAATGACGGGAGGATGGTGAAGAAGATATAAAAATTAGGTCCACGACCTCAATTTAATGATAAAGGCAGCGTGGAACGCTGCGCAGCTTTTTGGCAAAGTTGATTTATTCCCTTTGATCAGGTCGAGAGAATTCTAGATTGTCTCCAGTCTATTTTCCCAATGGACTGTCTTGTAGTATGCCTTTTTCAAATCACAACCCTCGTCAAATTACATTTATTCAACGTGAAATGTTAGATCGAGGTATTTTTCGCTTGTATCCCTGGCAAACTTTATGGGAACAGCGTCTTTAAATTATCTTTCCTCGCCATAATTGTTGTTACAGTTATTGAAAAATATTTTTCGCTTGTAATAAAAACTGTCAGACTCATCTTTATATTTCTCCTCGTCTTTGTATATTCTGACGAGAGGCTCCAATTGTCTACTTTTATGAAGTGGACGCTCTTCCCATGGGAGATTATTATGATTCAGTGGGTATGGTTGCTGATTGGGTAAGTATTGAAATATCATAATATATGTTGAAGTATTACAAGATGTAATGAGAGTTCCTTGTGATGTTGCTCTAAGCTCAATGTGTAACAGTGAATTTGGAATTACCAACTATTAACTCGGAAGTGGTATGTGTTACGGCGTGCGCTAAGGATACTGGAGATTGCCGTCTGCCGAAGGTATGGTAGTAATAACTGTTAGGATTACAGTTGCTAACGAAGGATGTCAGGGCTCGCGGACGGAGAGTAGGGCAAGGACTAAGATGAAGACGAGGACGAGGACGAAGATGAGGCCAAGAGAGTAAGTAAATTACAAGACAAGAAGCCACAGTACAAATACAGTCTCAGAGCTCCCTTAAGTACATGAGGGCAGTCACCATAACCAGTGATGCCATAGCCTACATCCGTATCATAGCAACTAACTGGTATCTTGGGTGGTAACTGTTGCTATCGCAACACTGTAACTATTGCAACGCATTAACTGTGACTTGAGTGCACTCATGACACGGTTTGCCAGATGCTACACAACATTACAGGGCCAGTCCGTGACAAAGGATACTTAGATATGATTCGGTTGGCGAGGTGCCGGGTAGTCAAAGGTTGTAGAACTACAGAATAGTCGAAAGACACGAAGTCAAGAAGTCGAGTTGACGAGCAGGTGATCAAGGCTGATAACTCAGGGTGAACAGAAGTACGAAGAATGTAACAAATAACGAAAGACTGAGAATATCGGACTTTGAGAATATAAGATTTTAACATTATATAAATCTAGATTGCAAGATCAAAGATCACAAGAATGAAAGATTGAGAAGCTGGAGAACTACTATGTGGCAGCTCCAGCTTCCTTAAGTCTAACTCGAGATAGTACTTGAACTCAACTAAGACTATGACGAATGCCGTCATGACACCAGCCCCTCCATCTCTAACTGTCGGAGTTTTCTCGGAAACCTTCTCCAAAAACCTTTCTTAAAACCTTCTCATATCACCTTTTCCTCAGAACCTTCTCCTTGAAACCTCTTCAAGGATGCCTGGCCATAACAGTATGCGCTAGGTGGAGACATGACGACTCTCAATAATTCTAGTTGGGAATGCGCACAGTTAGTTGGAAGGATATGATAGAAATTGAGTCTTGTTGTATTTAGGTTATGAGTAGATATGGAATGATGAATAAGCTTGGGATAACAGAGAAGAGCAGAGGATGATAATCAGAAACTGAAGATATGAATAACTTAATTAATACAATTGATGGTGCTACTGAGGTAGATAGGACTGATATATATGCATGCTGTACACCCATAATACAGTCCATAATCATATAGCCAGAATGTTCCATAGCCACATTCCATTCCATTCTCTAGCATGTTGTACTAGTAACACAAAGCTTTTGGTGTTGATCGTCATAACGGTCGTGCAGGGACCACATGGACCCTGCACACTGCACTAGTACATGGATATGCTACATCTCTGTAGATAGACAGGGATAGCCCATAGCGGCTCTGACAGTCATATCACAACAGGTCTAAATATTATGTAGATATAGACCTGCTGTTACAGTTCGAGTGTCGATACTGGAGCAATTAGATATACGAAGGTAGTTTATAACCTTCTCTGTGGCAAACTATCGAATTACCACTTCAAGTACTTATACAATTATGAAAATATCTAGAATAATCGTGCTTGGCTGATATCCGCTTCTCGCATATTCCAATCATAGTAGTCCCAGTCTTGCTACCAATACTATAATATTCCAGTTAAGACTGAACTGATGTGGAATAAAGCTAGACTAGTGTAGAGTTATAGAATCACGTGCCCCACAATAATCGGGTCACAAGCTGTTGCACCTGCTCGTTTAGCTGGGAAGGGGTCCTACATGTAGCAAAGTGGCTTTCCCTTTCTAAGTTTTACACAAGGATCTGCCCTAGAAATCCCAGAGAAGAAGTAAATAGGTTTTGAACTCTACCTCAGCTTTGAGCCTTCCGTTATGGATGGATGGTTTGATATTTCTGAACGGATCTATAAGTAGTATCCCGTGAGTGGATGCAATACAACAAATGAGTAAAGAGCCTCGGCGACTAGCTGTAAAGGTGTAAGTGCTGAGCTACACACAATCATGTGATTTGAGAATTGTCTTGCAAACCTAGTTGGAAAGTAGCAAGGGCGAAGCCACCAGGGCAGTAAGCACTAGCGTCCATGCCTCTAGTTAGTATTTTTTGCATCAGATTTTAATTGCGTATGCAGCTATCTAGCTATGACACAATATCTGTTTTGCTGGTGATGCCCAGGATTACGATGCACAAGGGTAATGATCACTGAGGGTGAAGGAAGAACTTTCCAGGTGGCTCCATGATGAGTAGAGGAACAATAGAGCACTGTATAGAAAGTGTTTCTAGATTGTACTGCCAGATGGAGGAGACTAGAATATTCCGTGATACTATTTTGGGTAAATGAGGCGAGAGTCAAGCCACCTCAGATATGTATATAATTAGCGCTTTAAACCTCCTGAATCCTCATAGTTCTGAATATCAAATATATCAGCAGTTCATATTGATTCATCGATAATCACCCGTAAACCTTCTGCCAATTAACCTCCGTAAGCTCTTACCTTTACAACAATATCAAAGAAAAGTACAGAATAGATGATTCAACGTAAAGGAATGGCACTCATGCCTCGCATTTCATTTGCAAGTACCACTGCAAAGTTATGGCGGCTTTTCCTTCACCCCAAGTCAACCCTCATCTGTGAATACCCACCCAGGGGAACGTCTCAAAAACCCTGGGTTATCTAGACATGCCTCCATCATCCATCAACTTTTCTCCGCGCGAAATGTGGTCTAAGATGTCTCTTTCCCAAGTGGAGTAGGTGCCCAGGCTACTCAGACTATACCAGAGAACACCACCAGGAGGCGGACCACAACACCTTCCATCGTTTGCTTGTTTTTATAGTGTCAGCTGCACTCTCGCAAGCGAAGTCTTGGCGCGCACAAAGCCCAATTCGTGAAACTTCTTGCCAAAATTCGGATTCTCACGCCCTTCGAGGTTATATCCTTTTTTTGCATCACTTTTTCAACTTGTCCAGGCCCCTCTCACGTCCATCCCAAAGAACTATCTCCCAGATTTGTGCGCCACGCTCTGCTTCCTCCGTCGGGTATAAATATCGGCGTGGACGTGTATTTGCTGGTCAACTGAGGCCAGAGAAGGTCGGAGAGATGTGTGGTCATAGGGATGAGGATGTACTAGGTCGTACTTGTAGACTTCATGAGACTTAGGTAGGCGTCAAACTCGTTGGGAGCGGAAAAACGACGTGGTGGAGTAATTTTAAATTTTGCCTCGTGGGCCAACTTCTTTGATATTGCGAAATTTGACTGAACTTGGCTCTGGGAGAATATTTCACTTCCAGGTTCGTAGAGGACACCGCGTACAGGTGTTCAGTCTTACCCTCTCAGATTATAATTGTGTATATAGCTATGTAGAATAGAATAGAATTTAAGTATCGACTTAATCTTTTATTTTGATGGATCGTTAAAATTATCTAAATAGCTTTCAATCTTTATGTTAAATATGGAGTAGATCCAGATTCTACGACATGCTAATTATGTCAAACAAGAACTCAAGGTTTAAAAGGAAATAAAGCTAGAGGCCAAAGCTCTGCCTACAAGCTATAGATGATAAGGTTGAAATTCAGCGAGTAGTTATGAAGATGTCATCAGTGCTTCCATAACACCAGACTGCCTTTGGTATCCTAATTCAACTCCTAAATTGTTTTCCACATCCTGAGCCACTTAACACTAGACAATATTTTCCAATGGTGCAGCTAAGTGGATATGATATGGGAATGAAGCTATCATGAGTCACGCGTTGTTTTGTAATTAGGCACTAAGCCATAAATTGTGGCTTCCTATGTATAGATAGAAATACTAGGACGCAGCTAGCTAGATAATAACAACGACTTTATCACTTACTGGCTTTTTTACCACGACGCAAGGAAGTGAGGGTGCCCAGGGTAAGACCAACATATGGTGCAATAATAGACAAAACGTAGACAGTTGATCACTCTAGTCTCGGATCTCATCCGCAAGTACAACTACAAGGTTATTGTGTCTTTTACTTAACCCAAAGTCAACCCTCGTCCTTGAATACCCACTCAGGGGAATCTTCTCAAAAACCCTGAGTTATCCAGACATGCCTCCATCATCCATTGACTCTTCTACCCGTAGGATGAGATCTGAAGCAACTCCTTCCAAAGCTTGGGCAGATACCCAAGCTATTAGAACTATGCCGGAGGTCTTCACGAGGAGGCCGACCATTTCACCTCTTATCGTTGGCTTATGTTTTTAGTCAGCAGCACTCTTGCAACTAAAAGCTTGGCGCCCATGATGCCCTTCAATTTAAAAATCTACTTGCCACAATTCCATTCGTAGAATTGCGATCTCATCCTTCCCTTACATCTTATAAACTTGTCCCGATTTCTCCAGGCCTATTCCAAAGAACAGCCATCCAGATTTGTGCGCCACGATTTCTGTCATTCAGCAGATTTTGAGTTTGTTGTGGACATATGTATAGTGTCCAGCTGGGGCCAGAGACTAGTTGATGAGAGGTGTGGACATTGAAATGAGGATGTCCTTGGTTGTACTTGTAGACTTGACGAGGCTTAGGCGGAAACTTATTTCGTTTAGAGCAAAATTTTTATTTGAAGTGCATTGAATCATGGCCTCCTGGGCCAAGTTCTTTGGCATCGCGAGGTTCGACTGAACTTGACTCTAAGAAAATATATCACTCTTATGTTCGGTGAGGATACGGCGAACAGGTGTTCGGTCCTAGAATTCCTATTCGAAATTTGAATAGGGCTGGGAAGAGTGGTTCCACCACCACTGTTTCATGAGCCGACTCTATTAAGACTTGGTGTTTGGCATGCATTTGCGGAAATCCTTTGATTATTGTCTTGGTGTAGCATTGGCTGACGCATTCCTCGACGGGGTGGAGAAAAGCGAGGCTTCTAGCGATGCCCAAGAAGCGTGAGGCCGTAATGGATGGATTAGTCGCCGAGATCAACGGGATACGTAAGACAATAGACTTGGTCTAGACTCATGGTCGTCAAGTAGGAGCAATCTGAAAAGTGGGTAATATCTAAGGCAGTTGAGCAACCAGTTATTGAAGACGAGGCTATAGTACATCAGTCCCTTCTTGACTCAGCTCAGTGATGAGCTTTGGAACTTCAAGATGATCAAAAGTAGTTTCTATATGTGATGAGGGCGGAATTCTGTAAAATAAATGGTATAGCAACATATCACAGGTGTAGAGCTGGGCGAATTGTAACCTTAGTTATAGTTCAAGAATGCTGAGATTGGTTTGTTTTGGAGATTTAGCCATCGGCATGCCATCGGCATGCCAATCAAGCGACGCCCGTATTCTGCAGGGTCTACAATTGTCAGGCATTATATTTGGGTGTAATCTAATAGAAAAATATTTACGTGATGTCCTTCAAAAAAAATCTGTACTTCATGGACGAGGGGACGTTCTGCATGATTGAATGTTAGAGTAGGAAAGTATTGGATGGTCTTTCCCAGACTCCACATATGGACTTGAGCCAATCCTCCATTACCGAAGTTCCCGCGGAACACGTTATCCCTAACCCATTGCGCGTCATGTGATTCTAGAGACGTGACTTAAATGCCGCGCGTTTCGGATTGATTGGCACAGACACCTGCTGCATATTTGATTACCAAAAATCCTAAAATAGGCCTATGTGGGTGAAAGCCGGTCTTCGGATTTGCTCAAGGTGGCACAAACTGATTGATGAGTAATCTGGATTGCTCTATTGTCTAAAGGAAATAAATCTAGGGATAGAAACGGCTGAGCGAATGAAGTATCGAAGAGCCCGGAGACTACGTTGGAGTATAATTAACAGGTATCTCACGATATCTACAAGATCTTGCCCATTATTCATGTTTGCTTGAGTCTTTTTGGCCTGTCTAGTTCAGCTACTAAGAGGTGTCGACTATAGACACATTCGTACATTGTAGACGGATTCACCGGTTTGTGTCAGAACATGACCCTATTGCTCCACTTTCATTTCATCACAAACCATCTCGTCAAATTGCAACCAGTTGAAGAAAAACCAGATCAGTTATTTGTACTGTCATAGAATAAATGCAAACAGAAACACCTGCCATCAAAAACCAGAAAAGGCTCACAGGGCAGTGCCTGGTCAAAGTACATAGAATTGAGACCTGGTAGTACGCTCAATCACAAATAAATCAAATACACCAAAAACAAAAGAGAAAAAATTTACATGTAGAAAGGCGAAACAATTCAGACCTGCACGCAGTGCATCATGTCTTGTAGTTTTTTTAATTATTGGGCGGAAATTTATTCCCAGTAACTTATAGCGCTTGGCCTGGTAGTGACTTCTGATTGTATTCACCATCGAGCGAGTGTTGAGATGGAGAACCACTGCGACTGTGTACACTCTGTGTGTAAGGCTCTAAGTCATCCATAATTTCGGAGTTTCTAGATGATGGGCGAGAATCTGAAGGGTTACTGTTACATGGAACTTCTGGTGTGGGCTTATTGGTTGAGAACTGTTGGATAATGGGGGACTCAACAGTACAACCATCGGGTGTGTGAGCGGAAAAATTGCCTACAGTCTGAGTATTAACTTTGCAGTTGTATCTAGCCATATTCTTCAAGGGTAGTGGGCTGGATTCATGGAGACTTTCGGAATTTGCCGGGTGTGGGTCACGTAATTCTCCGTGCTCCGACGAAGAACTTGTTTGTAGTGTAGCATGAGTCATATTTAATCCTCTGGGTTCCATATCGCAGGGAGAGGGCCGTCCCAAAGTCAAGGAAGAAGGTTCTAGTGGTCGTCTTTGCGCGTGTACAGAATTTGACCATTGTTCGGGACTGGATGGCTGATTAGGGACTCCCTGTCTGTTAGGTGTTGCTGGTAGCGGGCCTTTTTCTACGCTGAGAGGGCTCTGTTGTAGCAATGCCGTGCTTGCTTGAGAGGCTTGCATTCCTGGCGATGGGCAACCTGAACTTCCTGAATGAGATCGAGGCTTTATTGGACGAGTAGATAGACAGGTTCGCGGACAAACACCCTGTTCAGAAGAATCCAGTCTTACACACATAGCCTTCGTAAAATTAGCTTGTCCCGTTAGAATCAATTTTAAAAACTTACCCAGCCGTCATCATATTCGTGAAGTACCCGAACTAGTTGGCCTGCAATCAATTCGAGCTCATCATCCATCGATGGCGCAAAATCGAGTTGAGCTCTGTGAACAGCTATAGGAATTTCTGAACTTGTATTCTGTGCTGTATTACCCGATTGAGGTTTAACATTAGCACGCGGGGTGTTGCTTTGATGTGCAGTTTGAGTCTTCGAACTCGCGGGAGATGGCGCTTTTGGGAAATCTTGCTGTCTCTGGCTGCGTTTCGAAGCTCCACGAACTAGCGTCGGCACAATATTATTTCCTCGGTTTATCGGGCTGGGATTATTCAGGATGTTTGGACCATTGGCATTCACAGAGTCGACTGCAATTTCAGCGTGATTTCCAAAGGGATTTGACTGAATGTCGGATGGAGTCGTTAATGATCTTTTCTCACTTTCGGCGTAGTTGGAGGCCGGTGAGTTTCCGTTACTCCTGTTGTTTTCCGTTGGTTTGTTGAGAACAGGCTGCGTAGCTGAGGATGCGTTTGAAGTTGAAGATGCGCTGATTGGAACTGAAGCTTTTTGGCTCATGTCGCGATATCCATCTTTCTCGTCATCCTGAATCTTGCTTACTCCGTTGTCGCGCTTTTTCTTGAGATAGAATTGGAGCATTAAGAGAATGGCACCAAGAAGTAGAACAATTCCTAGTATCAGCGAAGCTTTTCCTGTCGATGTCATACTAGATGATTTAACAGGTTCGGAAGAATTCGGTAGTTCCAAAGGTTGGTTTGTTTCGGTTACCTTAGGGAACGGAGCAAAAGATGTTTGTGATGTAGGTATTGAGACGGCAGAATTGGTGAAGGTTGATGCTGAGCTTGAGCTTGTGGCAACAAGTAAGGGCATTGATTTTGGGACTGTAGAGGTGGGAGACTCTATTGACGATGGTAGGTCCTTGAGAGAGGTTACAATTGAAGTCGTAGTAGGAGGCTCTGAAGATGTCGTTGTACTTGACGATACGACATGTGGAGCGGATGTGGTATCTATAACAAGAGTCTGGTCTTTCATTGACGTAGAAGTTGAGTGCTCAGTGGTAGACTCAGAAGTTGAAGTTATGGGTGTTGTTTGCGGGAGACTTGATGTTTCCGTTGGTGTCGTAGTGACAGAAACACTGGTACTAGTCCAAGAACTAGTTGAGCTGAATTGAGTGGTTGACTGGGTGCTAGTAGTTACTTTGCTTGAAGTGAGGGTGGTGTGTCCCGCAGCAGGGCCGGAAGATGTGGCAGAGGTTGTCACGTAGACAAGGAGGGTGGAAGTCGATTGGTCAGACTTATGCTGAGAATCATGTTCCCCGAAGTGGTAGGGAATGTTTGAAGGATTCATAATGCCTATATTGCTAGTTGAAATGAGCGCAATGCGTATCTCGAGGACCTCTATTAAGGCAAAAGATGAAGGTATCCACAGTAATGGCAGTAATAAGAATTAAAGGAGTGCGAATTCAAGATAGCCGGATCTGTTGCTCAAAATTGGACGATTTTCGGCGGCGCTGAGGAGACTGGTTAATGGAAAGAAAGACAATATTAGAGTGACGGATTGCAGGTGAAGTGAGGGCGTGTTCAAGGAATGAATGACGATAGATCGTCGAATGAGTAGGTTCCAAAGTTGGCTCAAGTCGAAAAGAACTGACCTCTACTCGCCACCAAATAACTGAAGAAATTAGATGATTATCAGAAGAATGACGGGAAGGGATAATTTGTGTGACCCATGTCTGTCTACAAGACCAACATGCACATCCTCCCGAATTAGTGGATGTGGACATTTAGTCAGCAACATGCTGTCTTTTTATTCCTTAGCTTTCCTGGTCTTGCCATATGCAGAGATTAGCCTTGTTAGCTTTCAGGAACGAGAAATTTAATTCGAGCGCACAGGTGTGGGGATGAGACATGGTGTCCGCCCCTGCGCATGCATCGACTATTCTTACCCCTTCCCCCTCGAAATTCTCCCCTGGAAGCCTTGAGCGTTGACATCAACGATCATCAACAGGGGGCTATCAGGCCAGTACCTCACCACCTGGACTGTCACATCCGGATCGACAGAGATCTTACGCCGGGGCGTGCAAGATGCGGGATTGGTTTTTGCTTGATAACTCACAGCCGTTTTCCTTTCTGCCCGAGGCCTGGCAGTATATTCCCTCGGGCAGCCATCCGATCATTCATGAAACAATGTAACTTTCCAAATGGCCCCAGCATGTTAAGAATGACGCTCCACCAGCAACATTGGACCAAGGGTTCAAGTTGTGTTCAAGTCATGATGGAAACCACTCAATCAAGTCCATTTTTTTGAAAACAACTCCCCTACTGTACGTTTATTTATTAGACCGGCATGATGAGAGTCGCGAGATTGAATGTAAATCTAGCGCATTGATGAAAAGCGTTCATGAATGCCTAGGAAGTTCGTCTCACGCAGTGTGCAACCAGTCGTTCACGACATAAAGGTTGAACATTGTACATATTTCTACAGCTGGATCGCAGAACGAAGCAATTATCACAGGATAGGCCGCATTCTCGTTCATTTGATTTCCACCAAGGTCTCGGATCATGCTGACAAAAATTATGTGCCCTAAATGATATGGGTCAGCATAAATCTGTAAATTGAATAATGTGTTCACAAACTTGACTAACACGATTTTCATCCCGATCTACATTCCGAGGCTGTATTATCCTTGAACGATGGACAAATTGCACCGATATATTCCGTGGGGTCCTAGACTGAGGTGGGAGAATTTGAAATAAAATAGAGCATGGTCTCGATCCCGACCCAGGGTATCTATGTTTTGAACAAACAAATATTCCCAGGAGCGGAAGCGATCCTATTTGCCAATCTGGGTAGCGTTCACGTGATTACTTCCCGACCGATAGACCGAGGTCGGACATTAAGGAATCTCCCTTTCCTCCTGGCTCCCTTGTAAGCTGTCTGTCCAACGATCAAAGGTATCGTCTCGGGTGGGCCGTACCATCACAACTAGACCCTCCGATTATCGCGTTCCCTCGAGATCCCCAAACCCCATCCCTCCAACGAAAATATCAACTTCTGAACAATAAAAGGTAGTTTTGGAATGAAGCACAGGGACAGCTAGAGATTGGAAAGGATGCCAGATAAGAGGCGCGTGATGGTTGAGTTTATTGATAAAGATGCGCTTCTGAGCGTCGTGATCGGGTTCTTTAGAAGGTCGTGCTCGACACGATTCAACAAACGGACGAATTTATTGGTCACCCTGTCATTTAGATAGGATGAGCTGCAGCTATATCATAGTAACGTGTCTGATCAAGCCCTGCTACTTCCTCGCCCAAGCTCCTAAAGGAATGCGGAGAGTCTCTATTGCCTTGCACCTTAATTTATGGACGTTCTCCTAGCTGAGGGCGAACGAGCTATACATGACTATCTGAGTATTAATCGCGAAAACTAAAGATTGTAAGATCAAGGACAAGCATCTTTTGACAACAGACTCTGTTATACACCACCCGACGATCAATTTGAATATATGTAACAATTTCATACAGTAATCATAGTAATAGTAAGAGGGAATGAACCCCGGATTTACAAGCCAAGCTACGGTAGCGACAATTGTGCGACCTGACGTGGTAACTTCGGCTATATATCCACCATCAATCACTCCGTCAACATCCGGCAGTAAATGAGTTCAAATTTGTTCCATCACTCATCGTCTTATTTCCAGTAATTGTGGTGATATCGTAGGGTAGAAAGATGACTTGCATCTAATATGCTTTGATTTGAGACGAGATGTTCGGATCCATAGCAGCCTATGGTATGTTGATGCCTTAGTAAGGTTAAGTGTGGCGCGCATGGGCATCCACGTGATACTGGTATGGATCCCTCGTCATGCAAACAGTTGGTTAGAGACAACAATTCATACCAATCATTCAAGCTTATTGTAGAAACCGTAGCCACCGGGTGCTACCAACGCGCCGTAAATTTGCATAGTCTCGCCTTACCCTCTCGAACTTCGAAAAATAAACTCCCCTCCGTATCAGGGCCGAAGATACTTGTGGAAAGATAGCCAACAGCACTGGTTGGGTTTTCGTAGAACTGATGCTTCAGGAGAAGATGTCAAAAGGTCATCCGTCTACTCTATAATGAACCACTGCTTACATTTTTGCTCATGAGAATTCTTAATAGATCCAATGGCGATTGACGGGAGTCAACCGTCAGATTGGGCCGTTCGATATCTCCCCGTTCACTCTCTTTGAAATTCAGACAGGTGCTGCCCACTTATGCAATAGTGATTATAAAAGTTAGAACAGCCTGCCATCTATCGGGGATGATTATTATATACATCAGACTCAAGAGAGTTACTTTTCATGCTCTCTAGCACACGATCAGCTATTTATATTTGCTTTGTAGTTCATCCCATAAATTGGACCTGATGTGTTTCCAAACAAAAATGCTCGTAAATTGTTTAATTAATGATACACTTTGATCATTGATATATATTTAGATATGCAGCTGAAGCTTGAACAATGCTTGATATACATTTCAAGACTCATCATCTGGATTATATTTGCAGACTTTCACAAGGTCCATTCACCCACACCAAATAATCTGTTACGGCGCTCATGAACACTCAAAATTTGTCCAGCAAGGCCAAGAATGTGTCATCTCCTGATGCTTTTCTAACATTTCTGACACCGACACTGAGTGCTGACATTTACATAATTTACCCTCCGCATTTAATCAGACCCTTGAGCCCGCGAGCTTGTTATACTGGTTGCTAGTACGATGGAGATGGATCTCGGTCTGCCGTAATCTACACCTCTAGCCTTAGGAACGAGGACATACACGTTTCAGCAGTCGATTTATCCAAATGTCACTTCTACATGGCGTTATCCCTGAACGTGATCGTGACTGAGGGTTTACCTCTGTTTACTCATGAAGTTCCAGGGACCCGTTTAAGTATCTAAAATAAGAGGCGAGCTATTGGTGAACGGGCCGGCTTAGCTCCTCAGCTGTCGGGGATCAGAGTAGTAAACACACCCTGTAGTGTATAAAAGTAAACATCGGACGAGCGGATGATACTATTTCCGGGCAGCACAACTATTAGAATTTGGTATGTCAAGAGTTGGCTGGCAGTGGTGGCATTGGATGTTCGTCCGTGAAGGCATAATCGTTTGGGAGATAGAATAAAGAAACAGGCCATATTAGCACATACATGAGAACATCACGTTCTACCAACGCTATAGTCAGGGCAGCAATTACGGCACACACTACCGTCCTGACAGTCTCAAGATAGCTGGTAGTGTCATGCGATGCACAAGGTAGGCGTGACGCGCATAATCAAGCCTTAAGACAAGACAAGCGTCTGGCCACTATAGCTGATAGGGATCTCTCGTAGCATCTCAGAGCTTATCACCAATGACAAAGCTTTAGATGAGCTTCATTACTCACACGATTAGAAGAGTGGCATATTGGAGCATCTCCTAACGTGACAACCAGCAAAAGACTAGAGAGCTTTTGTGTCTACACAATAGGCATCTCTTTCGCCGTGCTCGCCAATCAACCTTAAGTTTAGGGATGTATCTCGTGCCACGAACGGCAGTTCATTTTCCTCTGGTTTGGTTTAATGAATGTTTAATAATATTGACAGGGTAGGTCAAACACGTGCTCACCTCATTTTCAAAGCAGGGCGACCCTTGTTCCGTGATCTCATAGCTAAAGTATTCCTTCCCCACGAACATACTTAGTCAACATGGCGATGAAGACTCAGAGACAAGCAAAGGATTCACAGAGTACTAAGGGCTAATGTTACAATGCAGCGACAAGCATAGATGGTGTAATGATGTGGGGATTAATATCCTGTTGTATATTCTGGGTTTTTTCGTTTCGACAGAGGCGTCTTGCCCAGGGTGATGTTCAAACTTTAGCAAGGCGAAGGCAGTAAACAGTAGGTGTCGCTAGAGCAGCGCCCCGTGGATTCCCCTTTTTTGCGCCTTAGCGCGCTTACAACTTGAGCGGCAAGATGACCACGACTCGCAGCTCCCCATCTCTCATCCCAGACCAGACTTCTGGGCCCCTTTTTGTTGAGAAACATTACCTACTTCACCAATGTTACCCTCCAATGGCGTCAAGCTGTTGTGGCTGGAAATCCCTCCGGCTCCCAATGTATAGCAGCTCACCACCCGCCAATGCCGAAGAGATATAGTTCCGGAAACTTTGCACAGCTACAACTCGGCCAACCTCCTTGTAGGGTCCGGTGGACAAGACAGGGCTAGCAATGACCGCCCAGAAAAAACGGGGCAACTGATACTTGTAAAAACAAACCTCTAAAGCTTAAGCACTGTGAGTGGACATCATCCAATGAAGAGGCCCCAATAATTTTGCAAAGTCATGTCTGACCGTGTCCAATCATGGCCGGTATTCTTAGTAATCAGACAATTTAAAGCATATGTCTGTGTCCTTGACTCGGCTGCTCTGAAATAACTAGTGTCCAAGCGCAAGCAAATGCTGATCGCATCTACATTTCCAACCGGCATCTATCCTGCGGGGAGCGTATGTGCTAAACGATTTTCCGATTCAGAAATTAAACTATTTTTTCGAGCACATCTGAAGGCAATGAGAATGCGGCTAGAGATTGCGAGCCTCGCATCTTTCGGGGCAAGCCCAGTGCCCCATCCGCAGCCGAACGGTACGCCTAGCCTGGAAAACGTCACAGTCTTTGCCGCAGCGAGGAGGGGATTGGACATACCTGTAAGACGATCTTCAAAGTTTTGCAAACTAACAGGTCAAGGTCAAATTATGTGTATCTTTAGGTCAGAACGTCTAAAGCATACGCATACTGGCCCTTCCTTCCGAAACAAAGCTGCTTTGGATGTTAAACGCCCACACGAAAAGTTCGGATAGTAACCCACCCGAATCTCTTTGTATCGAGAACTCGGTCTTAGAGGCAGTAATACACCTGCAGAGCTCGATGGGCTACCAATGTTGCTTGGTGAGGTGGAAGGTGGTGCAGGGCTGTTCGTGGCACGGGCAAAAGGAGGAAGGTTGTCAGGGGCAGACGGAAGACCCAGCCATCAATCTAGCCCTGTTGCCATGGCGATCGCAACACTAGCGAGAGGCCTATGAGTTAATCAAATTACTGCTTTAGTCGCTGCCATCTGTCGACCAATCTTTCCTTCAACATCCTGAAGATCAATTATCACTAAGAGAAGACACAGTAGGAGACTTGACACCATCTGGCGCAAGGGACTTTAACAGCCCCGTAACATGTCGAAGCGGCTGTCACGGAGCATGCTGGCAGGATAGTTAGTTTCGACTACCGTTCCTTAATCTACTCGGCTATGCGTTTGTCGACCAATTCCGTAAAGCACAATCCAAGCCCCATGGCTTGTGGACGGGCTTGTTGTGAAAAATCATCCAATCTTTCAAAATAATCCGGGCGGAAACCCCATGCTAGGGCCCACGTACCACCTCAATCCATGTTGGAGTCTTACAACTTCCTACGTCATTTTCACGGCAACCAAATTTACATTAATCTTTACGATTCAATCTACTTTGTAACAAGAGGATCAAAATGGATCAGGCTCTTGCGAAAACAAAACTGGAGAGATTAATTGCGAGCAAACCACGTGATAGTATTCCAACGACCAAATACATCGTTCAGATAGGCACAGCAATGAATGAGATACATGGATGATGGTTGTGCCGAGCATACCGTAGGCTACGAGGTGGGGTGGATGAAGAATAACTAATTTCCTACTTACCAGGAAGGCCGTAGTGATTTTGCACAGCCTGTAAATAGTCAATTCTATCCACCTGCCAACCTATAATTTGATGTCGATCAAGGCGCAAATACGGCATGCTGAGTTCCGAGCTGGTTTAGGCAGGAGATTCCGTCTCCTATCTCTTCCAAACTCAGAAGACCTGCCGTGGTCATGCTCCAAAATCCCGGTCACTGCTCACACAATTATCCGACGGATAGTCGGCAAATTACCATCCTTAAGGCTGGTTTGGTTACGGTGAATCAGCGACTAATCAGGAATAGTCTGTCATTTTGCAGCACTTTGTAGTGATCTGAAAAGTTGAGCTAGATGAACAGTCGGCACACTTCCGAAATGGCATCGCCGTGTATTTGTGCACGGACCATTTCATTCACGCTCGTGATCGCCGGTTGCAATCAGAGAGATTGCCAGCTCATATCATTCGGAGATAACTGCACAAGCCTCGGTGGTTTAATAGTTTGCGTTGTGGTTCAGCGTTCGGACTGCTCTGCTATTCAGAATTGGAATAGCACAGACACATGTTCCGCCGCTGATGGATAATCGCTATTTGCTACAGGAATGAACTCTTAGTACACCTTGTGAAAAATTCCGAGGGTTCGTAAAGGTGTCCTGGTAAAATCAAAGTTGCTGAAGCTTGCCTCTAGCCATACAGATAAAATTAAAAAAATATATACATAATTTCAAGCTTGAGGTAAAATTGCGCGTGCTCTTTTGAAAACTTCGGCCCGGTAAGGTCTTTAGCTAGAGATTAGAATAATCGTTAATGTGTGTAATTTATAATTACTAAGCATATTGATGCCGCGGCAGGGTAGTTGAAAAAATCCATAGCACTCTGAGGTTACAGATATGACCACAGATTCACACTTTATAACATTAGTTGATGTATATTCAGCACTAGCTATGAAACATGTCCTGTCGTTTGTGTTTATTTACATGACTCTCCAAACCTCAGATACACCTACATTCTAGATCTCCATTGCACGTACGCTTATTAGAAGTATTTGCTTAGAACAGTTTTACCTTATTAAGAACCCACTAGAGGTAATTATCTATGCTTGCCTTGCCACCCATGCATACTAACATTGCGAGAAATTTGAAATTTAGATGTTTTCGAACCAGCCATTTCTCAAAGGTCCACTTTAGTTACAAAAAAGATAGAAGCCTAATGATCTAAATGGTCTTTTACTTAGGTAATAAAATAAAAACCATCTTGACAATCAACCGCACCTTTCCTGTCTCGGGTGGGTTGGATGTCTGAGCTATTCAGACTATAACTAGTAGACCGGCCTATGTGATGTTCTACTGCACCATCCAAATTCGACCGCGCTTACATTGTCGTCTGCACTGGAGAGCAGTGAATTGTGATGATACCTATTCAAGCCTCACTTACACGCCGAAGAGAGCCTCGTGTTTTTCTGACAAGGAGGACCAGCATAGGTAGGAATACTCTCAGACCTTTCAGGAAGAGACTATCGAAGCTCCTGTGGCAGGTGAAGCCAGGAAAGATGAGGAAAGTTATGATGCAAACTGCGGTAATGGTAGCCAGAGAGGTTCTCGTCTTATTCTATAATTCGCTATGCGCCGTGCCACTATTGAAAAGCACAAAGTGAGCAACTATTTTCTCCATGATGATAGAATTCCACCCGTCAAGGGTTGAGTCTACCGTGCGCAGCGAGAAGATGGTCGTGCAATATTAATGACACGACACCCGTTTGTCCGTCATGATATCTAGTAGGTGGCGAGCCCTTTTGATGCGTTGTGACCAATACTGAGAACCTCGGAAATCCCATATTAACCTCTAGTGTTACTCGAGACATGAGGTTGAGACGAATACATGGGAGACATTTCAAGGATGAAGATAATAACGTTGAAAATGAAACTCGTGTACGGTCGTCAGCTGAAGTCTCCTCGCCACCTTGAGGGGTGTGAGTGCATCTTTGAATTTGGTCATACCAGCAGCCGACGTGTCCGGCTACTGGCGATGCGCGTGTTTTCTCTGCAACTACGCGTCTCAAAGCATTGTTGGTTGAGTGACTAAAGTTGGAAGTGTTGACTCCTCCAATTCAATGCGCGAATTGTGAGGAGTCGGAATGTTACCGTTGAACAGTGGCTGTGCTGGAAGGCTGGGAGAGGTTGAAGCATCAGGGGAGCAAAGATGAGTATCCCATGCGATACAACCCCTATATAGCCTAGTATCGTCATGGTAAACTTCAGTGTTAGCTACCAAGTATCTAACATTGAAGAAGTCGGCCAATCAAGTGAGAATTGCCAGGAGCGTTGCTGGTAGACTAGAGCTGCGAAGGCGGCACAGGCATCCCTGAACTGTGAGTCGAGAGAACTTGCATTATGTTTCATAATTGGAATCCGAGTCCCAACGAGATTCGGGAAGAGGGCAAAGGTGACTGTAGGTGACCATGCGGCCGTGCACTCGGGTAAACGTGTCAAGTGCTAAGGCAGTCGGTTCAAGAGCGCGCTAGTGGCGGGCAGGTACTGGGCTACTTCCCGCAGCACAGAATTTCCCCCGTCCGCAGTCATGCAAGGCTCTCCGCCGGCTAAAGTGCTCCTTGGCATTTCGCATCGATCAGAGGCTGCTGCCCCTCGACACTCCGCCAAGTGGCGGCTCAGGAGCTGCTGGACTACTTCAAAATGGCGCGGTACGCTTACACCATACGCACGAGCCGCTTCCCATGAGAGACTTGCGCCATCGCCAGAATGGCATCTCCTGTATGGAGCTTGGGCCATCTCTGCCTTGTGGCTAATGGCGGTCCCGTCTACCATGATTTGGTCATTCCCAGCACTGCACTTGTCACCGCGAAGGGCCCGAAAATTCTCCGTACTCCTAAGTTCGCTCCCAGCTTATCCTATTCTCTGGAAGGCTTTTCGGAACAGAGAATTTACCAGGCCAAATTTTAGGGGCTCCCCTTGTTTCAAGAAGCTTAACCGTCCGCCCTATGGTTGATTTGTTCTGATTGGCAGATGGACTAAGCCGCAACCATTGATGAGAGTGAATTCAGTTGTTCATGGGTACATTAGCTACATACAAATATACAGTCAGCAACAGTTTCCACGAACTCTGTAGCCAAACATTTCCTTGACCTTGAGTCTTGGTCACTAGCCAGGCCTAGACTGGATACCTTGGCCACTAATCACTTTGAGGAGTCTCTTCCAACTTAGGAGGTCTAAAGATGAGTCGTTCACGCTAAAACGTAGCTCGTCGATGGAAGTCCAAAAAAAGATATCCTTCCATCACTTCAATACCTGGCGAGGGAGATTTTCCGGAGAAAACTAGATCTGCGACCTACCTTGGTCCTCGTCGCATTTCTTACCGATGCACAGAGGAATAAGGGATGTCACGGAGGGAAGGGAGAGTGCGGAAGATGGGAGAAAGTCGGGATGAGATACCGAGAGAAGCGTGCTGAGGCGGTTGAGGCGGCTGAGGCGGCTGAGTTTGGATCCCCTATGACGGTAACTACTCGATGATGCGGCAAGGAGGTATTACGGGAAGGGAACGCTGGGATTGGAAAAGGTAAATTGGTTGCAAGAGCTGGAGACGCCGAGGGACCGGGCGTGTGGTGGTCACGTCTAAGGAGGATGTAGCGCTACGGGGTAGGGGAGGAGGGCTCTCCAGAGCGTCAGACTGAGGATGATCCAACAAAGTCCACGATAGCCCAGCAATGAAAGAGACCCATCACAAGGTTAGGATTCAAGCTAGTGTCAACCCCAATGTTACGCTCAATCGAATCGTCATTGTCGCATCAAAATCTAGTCACCACTGCTTATTTCGGGAGTTACTTTTCATTAGAGTCAACTACATCATCGACTCTAATCGGTGTTCCCGGTTAAGGCATTCGAAGAGTGCTATTTGCCTAGCAATTACTGCTGTGAAATAGAAACATAGGAACCGCCCTTGCATTTCCATTCAAGATAGGTATAATAGAAGCCATGTCTCCCCTTACATATCTTCATCAAAAACGCTACATCTGTTTATTACATTAATGTACACACTAGTTACTATCTACGAATTAGGCTTCGTTCGCTCAGTTTAGCTAATATTTATGTTTCCATGGGCCTCGTTCTCTTTCATTGCTGGGCTATCGTGGACTTTGTTGGATCATCCTCAGTCTGACGCTCTGGAGAGCCGTCCTCCCCTACCCCGTAGCGCTACATCCTCCTTAGACGTGACCACCACACGCCCGGTCCCTCGGCGTCTCCAGCTCTTGCAACCAATTTACCTTTTCCAATCCCAGCGTTCCCTTCCCGTAATACCTCCTTGCCGCATCATCGAGTAGTTACCGTCATAGGGGATCCAAACTCAGCCGCCTCAGCCGCCTCAACCGCCTCAGCACGCTTCTCTCGGTATCTCATCCCGACTTTCTCCCATCTTCCGCACTCTCCCTTCCCTCCGTGACATCCCTTATTCCTCTGTGCATCGGTAAGAAATGCGACGATGACCAAGGTAGGTCGCAGATCTAGTTTTCTCCGGAAAATCTCCCTCGCCAGGTATTGAAGTGATGGAAGGATATCTTTTTTTGGACTTCCATCGACGAGCTACGTTTTAGCGTGAACGACTCATCTTTAGACCTCCTAAGTTGGAAGAGACTCCTCAAAGTGATTAGTGGCCAAGGTATCCAGTCTAGGCCTGGCTAGTGACCAAGACTCAAGGTCAAGGAAGTGTTTGGCTTCAGAGTTTGTAAATGTAAAATCAGATATCACAATCAATATGAAGTGCAACTGGATTTTAATGAGACCTAATACCTATTATCTGTGGGAAAAAACCGTTCAAGTGGGATGAGAGTTAATCTGAAGTAATTTATTGGACAGAAATCAAATTACTGAACTACTTCTCTGAAGCTTGTAAAGAAAGCATATCAATAGTCCCGGATGAGCACCAGACCACATAGGCAAGTGCAGACCGTTCGAGAAAGCATTTACTATCAACCTTCTATATTAAGTGTTATCTCTGCTGGCGATAATCTACTTCTTGTCATTTGGCCCACTGTGCTAAAGCAAGACCAAAGTGGGTTCTGGCGTCAATCAACTCAAAGGCTGAGACGTGTGATGAGAGAGACTTTGGAAAGAAAAGTAGACGGCAGTGAGCTGTATTTAGTTTTAGAAGACAAAAAATAAGAGATATGGGTGTACTTTGAAAGATGGACAGGCTAGTGTGCATCAGCGGCATGAAAGAGAATAAATCACTTTGTACAGGGTTTGTCTATTTGGTGACATCTGACGTGCTGCTTGAGGAATTTAAGCAGGAGCAGAACAGAGTCGGGTCAGATCCAAAACTCATCCATTGTATTACTGTTGAAAATAGTCACGTCGCTTACAATTTTTGTATTCTGTCCAATTGTGACCAACTTCCTGGCACACTGCAATATAATTTCTTCCACCTGTGCGTGCAGGGCGAGTAACTATTGGGCGTAAATTGTGTGAAAGATAAGGTCGGATCTACACGGTGACGAATGAAATGGTAGTGATGCGGAGACAATGCTCTGCTCTCACGCACAAAAGTAGTGTATTTTGTTCGTGTTTGTAGTCCAATTGAGTCTTTAGCTTTATAATGATACGTAGGTCCTTTCTACCCACGGGCCGGGAGTTTGTACACCTCGAGTACTGTCATCCCTGCCTTTCCTCATTCACAACTCCTTTCTTCGTCTCATAGCTATAGAGCTGAATACACATTAGATGATTAAAAAACTTCTTTCCGGCGGGAGTGCCTCCACAGGTCTTCATTTGAGTACACGTCAAGAGGAGCCGTTATCCTCTCATTATGACCCATCTTTAGCTCTCGAACTGATGATCATTTGCGGGTATTAGCTGCATGGTAAAAATTCATAAATCACCGGCTGCAGGGCTCTCCTGATACCGACATTAGGACCAAATCCGAAGACATAGCCAACATTTTGAAGCGTTCCAGGAGGCCAGCTAGCCAGGCGCAGCAGGTCTGTGTATACCTAAGAGCTTCTCGAGACTTTCCTAGCCTCCTCCTCACTCCTACCCTGATTCATTCTGCAGGACAAACCCAAGGTCGTGAAAGGACGTCAGAAATTTATTGGTCGAATGTGACTGTCGTGAAGGAACCTAGCTTAGCATCCAATAGTCGTTACAGAAGTGGGATTGTCGAGTAACTCATGTACTTCAGACGCCCTCCTAGCTAGTGTATTCGGAATTAAAGGATGGAAGAGACTACATTGTTTACAAGTCGAAATCTATTTTTCTCGAGGTCGGAATGGTCGTTTCCTTAACTCTCGTGGGTAGCACATGTTGTGATGAGACGAGGGCCTCTAACAACTACCGTTGTAGCGTTTGGTACCGTAATATCTTTCCTCAAACCCAGCATCACAGTCGTCGTCTTGATCGTCTTGCGTGCTTTTGAAGCTTGTGTCTGTGAGAGAAGGGGGGATAACTCAAATCAGTTGAAAAGGCCTTACTAAATCTCGACGCTGCAGACTCTACAATGAAAGCTAGAGATTCTTAGTGTACACCACTGACAGGTATGTGTGTGTTTGTTTTATTGTTCTACTTGAGTCTATGACTATCTAGCACATTGGGCTCCTCTCTGACCCAAGCCACACCTTTTACAGTGCTCCTATCCTCTTTTGATACTTGAAAGATCATTGATATATTCCCCTTGATGTATAGCCATTCAGCTCAGTGTTTACTCGTGGAATTCGGCCACCTTTTCTACGGAATCTTCTACCCAAAAAAAATAAAATAAAAAGGTAGCAATGGAAACTGCGTGCGCGGGAAAAGTCTCAAAAAACCTGCAGCCCCAGCCAGGCGAGGCCTAGACACCGCGACCACATGAGGTGCGCATATTCATCTTTATCTCCCTTCCTTGTAACATTCGAGTTCGACTTGATCCAATCTGCCATCTCTATATCGGGTGCTGGGTACGCTCCGGAAACTCATCGGATGGCTTTTCCTCATGATCAAGGGTTGGTGATGAGTAGGGCTCCGACCCTACCATCTGATCTGATCGTGGTTAGCTTCATGATAATGGTGATAGGGGAATGTGTTGAGAGATGAAGACGATACAGACCGCGCAAGCGATTGGGAATCCTCGTCGAAGTGAGGACTTTGTTACTCAATCTCGGCTCTGCAGGCTCTAAAGTGAGAGCTGGAGGTTCGTAGTGGACACCATTGACAGGTGTTGAGCATAGTCCCCCTGCCTCGGATTTCATTTGCGAGTACCACTGCGAAGTTATGGTGGCTTTTTCTTCACCCCCAAGTCAACCCTCATCCGTGAATACCCACCCAGGGGGACGTCTCAGAAACCCTGAGTTATCCAGACGTGCCTTCATCATCCACTGATTTTTCTCCGCGCAATAAATGGTCTATCGCGTCTTCTTACCAAGTCAGTGCCCCATTTTTTCACCCAATTGAGCTAAATCTGATCCATACACCCCATAAACCTTAAATACTTCCTAGTGTCTAACAAAAACTTCATGATAAACACCCACAGCTCAGGTAGGAGAAACTGTTAGCCTTAATACATAGCAACACTGCGGCTTCTGTGGACCGAACACAGTGCCTACAAATATTCTCATTCAAAAGACCTTTAGTCTGGCTCTCCCCCAATTAAGATAAATTCACTCTGATTTCATGTGACTTTGAATTAAAAAAAACGTCAATTTGTCCAAAATTTTGGGTCTTCAGCATTTTCCACCTACCGCTTTCCAAATTTCTAACTTTGTCTTCTACTTGCAACCAACCGACTACAACAAATTAACCCTTTCATACCATCATATTGCGATATGTCTCAATATCCAGAAATTTTCGCAGATCAGGAAAAGGTCTCAATCAATCACATTTTCAAGCAATTTCGTAACAACTGTGTTCCAGAGGATAAAAAATATAGCAAAATTCACTTAAAAGCTTGATAACTTCGGCTAATGGAATAGGTGTCTTAAAATATTTTGATGATTTATGTAAATATACGTATAACTTAGACAATGACAACATGTACAAACTGAAAAACTTGTTCCATGATACCGAGATGGCAATCAAAAAAAACCTAATTGAGTTTGACTGATTTAATCAACTTATTGAGGAAATTTTAGGTGAGGATGATATGTACCACATAATAGAAAATACCATTCGCCTAGCTGTAACCACTTGTCACGATGTGGTTCTCGCTCAAAACGGTGAACAACCTCTAGCAGTGTCAAATATCTACACCAAGCCCTCTACGCGAGATACTTCAGAGGCATCGGGCTTTCACCAGACCACAAATACCGTCGCCGAGGCCATGCAATCCGAGCTTCAAGAAAATGTGTTCTCTGGTATTTCAAACTTCTGGGAGATATTTTTCGAAGGAAAAGCTTGGTCCAAGCAGACCTCACATATTTGGGAGTGTTATAAGACTTACGAAGAAGCTGAGGACTGTAAAAGACCAACGGCAAATCAGAATATTATAACTTTGAAAGAAGAAATGACTGAGAGACAAGTGTGGGAATGGCTTAATTTTTTCAAGGATAAATTTTTGAATCAGCTACATGGGCCCATAGAAGAACCATTGAAGAACTGCAAAGTAGTTATAGAAGCGAATAGGCCTCAACTGCGAGGGCACTATTGCAATACCAAAGCTATGAAAAGCACTGTCAGTACGGCAGCTAACGCTCAAGTTGACTTCCTTATTCAAAGTATGAAACTATCTGATGATGAGCCTCAATGGAAAGACGTGAAGGTGGTCGCCGAGTTCTCGAAAAAGACCCATAAAAATGAAAGGAAAGCAAAATTCCTCAAACTATCTGGATACGTACGAGAAGTGTTTTGTGCGCAGCCCTTGCGGCGATTTGTACATTGCTTTTTCTTCTTGACAACAAAATTTGAGCTCTGGGTATTTGATCGTACTGGGGCCTACAGCTCGGGCTTAAAAAGCATTGTCAGCGAAAAGGAGATGTTCGTACGAGCCATAAGCTCGTACTTGCTAATGACTGATGAAGAACTTGGCCTCGACTTGTCTACTAGCCAGGTCGGCGAAAATTTATTTGTAACAATAAAAGGAAGTAATGATGATCCTACCATGCAATTCCAAATCGAGCCTAAGCCGATTATCCAACCACAGAGATTGATTACTCGGGGTTCCACCTGCTTCGAGACCGAAGACAAACTATCAGTGGTGAAGTATGCTTGGACCGGTGTGAAGGGTGTTGTGATCTAACGCTGTTCAAATCTGCGGACTTCGTGGTGAGCAGTTATACTACCTCACGTGATAGAACATGGGAGTGAAGTAAAAGAGTGGTCAACCCACTAGCCAGATCTAAGCGATTACTGGCACACATAGAACTGTAACACATTCTTTGTAGATAGAACAATAACATAATTATCATCAGTGATTAAATTAATCCCCACACAATTGAGACCCATTGAAGTGCCAACTTTCATACCACCCTCAATTGTATTGTCGCAATCGCATCCATAACAAGCCACCATTGCAACTCAGAGCATACTCTCAAACTGTGATCAACTACACCACCAGGTTTAGCATAAATCGCAATAGGTTATAGCCCGGAAGCTCAAGTCAACATTTATCCTCTATTGTATTTACCCTTCCATCTAAAATTCAGTTCTCTAACAAAATGTCTACCTCGTCCGATGATGTCAAACCCAAGTCGAACCCAGCTGCATCAACAATCCAAGCCAGCCTTAAACGGATGCCTATTCTCACCGGAAGCGAAAACTACCGCAGATGGGCAGGAGCTTGGGAAATTGTGTTGGAAGACAGCGAATTATTCGGACTCATAACGGGGGAGATCACAGAACCGGAGACTAAAGATTCAGATGGATGGAGACAATGGAAGCGACAAAATGTTAAACTGCGCAAAATACTCTTGAATGCTGTAGATGAAGATCTACAAACAGTGGTGATTGACAGCCACACAGCTCACGAAGCATGGAACCTGTTCAAGGCTCGTTATGATCGCGACACGACAAACACAACGATATCACTTTTAAAATACTTTATCAATCTCTCTTTAAACGATGGGGAAAGCATCCCTGATCACCTTTCGAAATTTACATCCTCCTGGAATCGCCTAAAACAACGCTCGCAAACAACGAAGTCGTCTTTAGGCCGAACCCTCCGAACGCTCACCTCCGATGATGAAATAAAAGGTGCATTTCTTTTATGTTCATTGCCAAAAACCATGGATAATCTCGTCGATAATCTTGCCACCAAAGAGCTCACAAGCTTTGAAGACGTCCAATCTAGGCTCTTAGATCTCACAGGCAGTACAACTAATTATTCAATAGATAATACAGCCTATAAATCTACAGAGAAAGACGAAAAAGAATGTTCTTGGTGCAAATCCAAAAAGATGAAATACCAGGGTCACCTATACACCAGCTGCCAAAAGTTGAAAAAACACCAGGAAAAGAAAAACCAGCGAAGAATACCAAAACCAACCGAAATTGCGGGTGCTGCAGCTCATGAAAGTGAATTCTCAGACCATGCACTTATTTCTAATTCTTCGACTGTCACTTCAACAAAGTGGATCTTTGATACTGGTGCTTCAACACACATGACTGGATGTGAAAGCGATTTTGAAAGTCTCACTCAAGTTCAAGGTCAAAGTGTCAAAATCGCTAACAACACATACGTCCCCATAACTGGGAAAGGCACGGTAAGGTTAAACCTTTTGACAAGTACGGGAGAAGTTTTAAATACTGTCCTCCACGATGTCATGCTGGTACCATCATTTCAAACGACGAGACTTTATTCATGGGATAAAGCAAGGGAGCAAGGATACAAACTGAGAGGAGAAAAAGATAATATTTTTTTAATTGATTCTTTTGGGCATGAAGTATTGTGGGCTAAATCGGGAAACAAAGCATATTATATACAGACGAAGAAATATAATGCAAATTTTGCCACTTATCTTAATCTCCATGAAGCGCTGGGGCATCCAAGCACTACGGCCATTAAAAACTCTTCTGAACTGTACAAAAATTGCAACAACCTTCCCTTACCGCCTGCAAACTTCTACTGTCCAACATGTGAGAAAGCTAAATCTAAACACATTGTACCAAAATCAACCCATGAAATCCCAGCCAGTAAATTTGATATTATCTACTCAGATCTATCCGGAAAATTCTCTGTACCATCACTTGGCCAAAGCCTATACTATATTACCTTTATTGATGGAAAAACACGATACTCCTGGGTCAAGTTCCTACGAAGAAAAAATGATACCGCACAAACAATGCTCGATTTTATTCGCTTTGTTAAAACACAATTCGGTACCAGTATCAAACGTTGGAGAACTGATCGTGGAGGAGAATTCGTCAATCAAGCCGTCAACTCTCTTTTTAATTATGAAGGTATAGTACATGAAATGTCGCCAGCCTATGAGCATGAGAGAAATGGATTAGCTGAACGTTACAATCAAACATTAACCACTATGGCTAGAGCAATGTTAATTGGATTTAACACCACGCTGTGGGCAGAAGCAATCTCAGCCGCCTGCTACCTCAAAAATCGCCTTCCTCATTCACGGCTACCTCCCAACACTACGCCATATGAGGCCTTACTTGGCACTAAACCCACAATACACCATCTCCAATCTTTTGGCAAAAACTGCTTTGTTCATATTCACAAGGACTCGCGACCCGCAGGAACAAAGCTACTACCAAGAGCTATGGAAGGCAAATTTGTGGGATACACGGAAAGCACAAAAATATTTCGGATATGGATCCCTTCAAAAAATAAAGTAATCGAATCTCCCAACGTCAAATTTGCGCCGCTCGATTCAGGGGAAGCAAATATAAGAAACGCCCTTGATACTCGAAGCAACAATTTTCAGACAATAGTGGCAGAAACAGAAATATCCCCGGAGGAAATAATATCTTGCGAAAACCAACCAGAAGCTTCAGACACAGCATCCAACCTCGAAAATCCCTCAAGATCATTACAATCCAATCTGCTGCAAATACATGACCATCATGGACAATCACTATTACAAACGCACACAAAAGCACAACCCCAAACCTCCGAAATTAGCGAAAACCAAGTATCAGTACATAGTCGACCCAAAAGGTCATCAAAGCCTATTCAAAGATACGGTTCACCTATATTTCATGGCCCTGAGCTATGCTCGAGGGAACAACATGACTTGGAGCATGGACAGCTAGTGCATGTAGAAAATGTTCAGGATGAAATTGAATATAATGCTGTAGCTCTTGCAGCACAAACTGCACCGGAAACAAATGAGGAACCAACAACAATCGAGGAGGCACTCGAAAGGTCTGATGCAAACCACTGGCGTGAAGCGATCGATCAGGAAATTAACTCCTTAGAACAAAAGCACACCTGGGATGAAACTGCCCGGCCGTCACAGCGCAATGTTGTTGGATCTAAATGGGTATTTAAAATAAAGCGACATGCTGATGGTTCAATTGACAGGTACAAAGCACGTCTAGTAGCTCAAGGATTCAGTCAAATTCCTGGTTATGATTTTGATGAAACCTTTGCCCCTGTTGCTCGATACGAAAGCCTTCGCATGTTAATTCGCATCGCTGCCCAAAATAAATGGATACCACAACAAATGGACGTAAACTCGGCCTACTTATACGGTTCTTTAAAGGAAGAAATATTCATGGAACTTCCACCGGGATACCGAAAATCTGGAAAATGTGCTGCACTCCGTAAATGTATCTACGGTCTAAAACAATCAGGCCGTGAATGGTACGCCTGCATATCGACATCACTTCAACAAAAAGGATTCGAAATAGCAGATTTCGACCCATGCGTCTTCGTTCATCCAACAGAAAACGCCTTTGTAGCGATATACGTTGACGACATACTAATCTTTTGTTCAGATAATAAATTTAGCCAAAACCTCAAGTCATGTATCGGAAAAGATTTTGATTGCAAGGACTTAGGAAATGCTCATTATATCCTTGGACTACAGATTAAACTAGAAAAAACAGGTATCCGACTCTCTCAACAAGGTTACTCAAAGAAGATTCTAGAACGCTTTGGCCTTACACTTGCTCACAAAGTAAGTACTCCTCTCGATCCAAACGTCACCCTTTTCAAAGGCACTGAAGAGGAACGTCTCGGAAATATAAAAGAATATCAAGCCATAGTTGGATCCCTTATGTATCTTGTCATAGGGAGTCGCCCTGATCTAGCCTACACTGTCACACTCTTAAGCCAGTTTTCATCTTGCCCAAACGAAAGTCATTTGCGAGCCGCCAAACGAACTCTTCGATATCTAGCTGGAACAACCGATTGGGATTTGTTTTACCCGCATGGAACCAGCAGGGTACTCGAGGTGTATGCCGACGCATCCTATGCTGACGATCCTCATACTCGAAGATCCACATCAGGATATGTAATTCGCCTAGGCAATGCTGCAATATCATGGAGCAGCAAACAACAGCGATCTGTGGCATTATCAACTACAGAAGCCGAATATATGGCCATGTCACTAGCTGCACGCCAGACTACCTGGACAAAATTTGGGTTAAAACAACTGCGCCAAGAGTATGACACAATGCTCTACACTGATAACAATGGAGCCCAAGAACTTGCAAGAAACCCGCGGATTCACGGTCGTTCAAAACATATCGACGTACATTATCATTACGTTCGTGAGAAGTTTAACGAAGGAGAATTTGAACTTCTCCACGTGAAATCAGCTAATAACCTTGCCGATCTACTCACCAAGTCTCTCGTTAAATCTATACATCACCGACTTTCAGATCATATCAGATGTGCAAAGCGAGGGGAAGTGTTGTGATCTAACGCTGTTCAAATCTGCGGACTTCGTGGTGAGCAGTTATACTACCTCACGTGATAGAACATGGGAGTGAAGTAAAAGAGTGGTCAACCCACTAGCCAGATCTAAGCGATTACTGGCACACATAGAACTGTAACACATTCTTTGTAGATAGAACAATAACATAATTATCATCAGTGATTAAATTAATCCCCACACAATTGAGACCCATTGAAGTGCCAACTTTCATACCACCCTCAATTGTATTGTCGCAATCGCATCCATAACAAGCCACCATTGCAACTCAGAGCATACTCTCAAACTGTGATCAACTACACCACCAGGTTTAGCATAAATCGCAATAAAGGGGTGTTCGGAAATCGATTTTCTCAAATTCGCACTTCCGGTACGCAGTGTCGTCAATTATATAACATCAGATGAAATATATCGGACAAGTCACCACTTGGGAAGCTTAGATTTTACCGATGCTGACGCTTGGGACTTGGAGACAGAGACGCTGATCATATCAAGGGTTACGCACCTGATGCAACCGACAGTCAGCCCATGGGACAGAGATTGCAGACTCATCAGGATTGCTTTCACACCTCGTGGTCAACCCTGAATACCAGCAAGACGACCCTTGAATTTATTGTTGGAATTCGGGATGCAATCTTGGGTCACCGACGCCTCTATGATCGGGGAATTCTCCACGGCGACGTTTCGGAAGGCAACATCGTCTTGACATCACCAACTGCAGATGATGAATCAAAGGGGATGTTGATTGACCTTGACCACTCTGTTGGACTAATCGAAAGTCTGAAAACGGACGATGAACTGTCTCTAACAGGCACTATGAAATTCATGGCAATCGGGAGATTACAAGTTGCGGTAGACAATGAGCCTACAATCCAGCGTACTATTTGGCACGACTTGGAATCCTTCTTCTATGTATTCCTTGTAGGATGCATAGAATATGAAGTTGTCCCTGAGACCAAATCATGTAATCTTGACAGGTAGTGCACAAAAGATATAGTGAGTAACTACAAAATGAAGGTAGGTTATGTCGCTGCTTTCCAAGTTTTAGTTTTAGAGGATTTTACACCCAGTTTTTTGGGCCTGAAGGACCTAGCAAGGAGCTTAAGAACGATTTTATTTGGTGAGTATGACCAGAATTATAAGTCGCCTTACAACTGTAGCCCACTGTACGATGAAATAATTGAGGCATTCAATAAAACTATCAAACAAATTACAGGTAAGATAAATTTGAGATGAAGCAAGAGTGTAATTCCCTTTGACACAAGCCTCACTGACAAACGTCAATTACTTAGAAAGATCAATTTTAAATAATACTTTCAAGTCACGAAAACAATGGAGCTTGGTATGAGTGGGTCACGGGAAAATATTTAATTAATTCTCCTGCAAGAGGTAAGGTTACAAGATTGGTCTTAGGGTAGGTCTACTTATTCATTTTTATTTACTTTCAGACGAGAATGTAATTGTGATTGCTTTTAGAAATTAGGGTGGAAGATTGGAATGTAAGCCTGTTTAAACCCGTGAGACGCTCTTGGAGTAGATAAGTTGCACCCTCTAACCGTTTCTTTCTTGTATGTTTGTTACATAATCATAATAATTTATTAATATATTTCATGGACTTAACATGAAAGTTTTGTTAGAAATGAGAATAATTTAGGCTATCATCTAGGTGTCAGTAAATTCTGTTTAGTCAGTTTGTTGGTGAAGTGAAAGTTGTCCAAATCATCAGTAGGTATTACAACTTTAGTATTCCGTATTCACTTAATCACACATACATTTTTCATACACAATTTACGACTCTTGTTAAACACCTGATAGTTTGGAACCTACAGAATATGGTAATGGGAATCATTAGATAGTGGGATGAAACATCTTGTCGGATTAACTTACTCGAGCTTTGATACCTCACCAGGGATATGGTGATCAGGATGTTCAGGATAGTCAAAGCTCCAAATTAAGATCTTTTGATCTTCAACACGTGTAATATATTTCATATGTAGTTTTGGGAAACGAGGAGAAGACAATCTCTCCTCGAGATAGTTTCAGATGGGTATATAGCATCACTACTGTAGAGGAGTAGAGATTTCATCAATACAAGTTTACTTTACATTTTTCATTTGACCCTCAGTGTCTAACAACTCTTCTCACTATCATACCCACGTGACTGTACTTTCTCAATATGACAACATGAGGTCATTTTGTTGACAATCATGTGACTATTACATCCCTTGCGACAATTCTTAGACCTCTCATATTGTGACGGGCTAGGGCGTTCAGCCAATGCACAAAAGCAATGCCACAATTAAATGTTTATATTTTCTATGAGGAATTTAGGTGCGGGAAGCTACGGCTCTTCCAAACTTTCATGTCTGTTCTAGATCCCCTGGTCCTTTACACGTGATCTGATAATACTCCCGTATAGTGAGAAGATTTACAGACTCGCTTGCACAAGACTAGGTTTCTCGAAAAGACCCATTTTCGCTCCTAGCTTTTACACTCGCTCCATACTATCTATTAAGCGAGACTCAATCATCTACTAGTAGCTCTGTCTGTACCCGTGGTAGATTGTTTCTCCTCTCCAGTATGTAGATTTACATTTTCATCATGTCTGCAGTATAGTTAACAGAAGGCCCAGAGGAAGGGTGCTTTTGGTGTATTTTTAGTTTGGGGCAACTGACAAGAGGACCGGGGCCCAGTTCGTATATGCTGGGGTCTCAGGAGCGTCGGCACGTCGTGTATTTTTTCTACACTGAGCTAACTGGCATGTGACCTTGGGAAACGTGTTGCGCGCTGGCAAAACGTAAAATAGTAAACAAAACAAAAACAAAGTCTTCTCCCCTTGGGGTATCAGTGGTTATTTTATTAGTCAATTGATGGGAAGAATAGGACAGGGCGCTTCTGTTTGGACACTGTTACAGCTTGAGTTTACAGATGATAGGGTTATGGTATCACGTGATATGGAGTTTGGTTGAGTAAGCGTTGGTCCCGGAAGCGAGCTGGTGGAGTTTTCAGCCCAGCGAGGCTGCAGACCTCTTTCTCTCCTTGTCTTTTCTTTTAGTTATTGTGTGTAGCTTTAGGTCAAAATACAAAGCAATTACTCTTTTATATTTCGAGGGAGTCTTCTAGTGTCAACCTGAGGTCGGTCGTAATATAAGAAAAGACCAATACAACCTTTGCTGAGAAGCATATTATCTGCCAGTCATTAACTGCGTCGTCGCACCTCTGCTGCACGACTTAACCAACAACTTCTTGCCTACCATTCCAAGTAGGTGCCTTCTAGTCAGTTCGCTGATTGGAGTGTCTCCAGAGCAAGCCGGAAAATTATTAAAGTTGCGCCTACCTCTGTAGCGTTCTTTCTCTGCCTCGGAACTTTGCTAACTCGATTGCCATACATAGAAAACGGTCTCCATATTCCATCTTCCACGCATGTCAACGCGTCGAAGCGCACGAGAAACTACTACGTCTGCGCGTCACGGTTTTCCTAGCAGCACTAATCTGCCTTTACAGACCACCGAGGATACACTGAAAGAAGATGGGGAAGTTGAAGAAATGTCTGACTTCACCTTAGCTCAGCAAGCGACAATAGGTCAGATCGTCGCCGCAGCGCTCGCCAATTCTCAGTTAAGCAAGTCGCCAACCACCGAGGCTCAAACGACTCCTCGCGCCCTCACGGCAGATCTTCAACCTTCGGTTGACTACTATCTACCTGTACTTGATCCCTTAACCACCGCTGTAGAGTCACACCGAGTCAAATACCCGCGAAGTGTGTTTACCGACCATCTGGGCGACATTGGATACGATGCTTGGAAGATGGAAATGAAGCTTTTCTTCGAAGAGTTTTCGGGGAACTTCCGACAAGGGCAAGCCCAAGTTAGGGCATACTTTAAGTGTACAGGAGGAGAAGCGAAGACAATCATCCTGCAGCATATGGATCCCGACTTCGGAGGAGTATTTGATGGAGCAGAAGATGTCCTCAAAGCATTGGATCAACGTTTTTTTGACTATAATCATGTGCAAGCTGCAAAATCCAAGTACCAACAACTTATCATGGGCAACATGACATATGACGAGTTCCGCAAAAAGTTCACAAACTATGCAAGTACTGCTAAGATTGCGCGATCCCGTTGGTTTGAGGATGTCTGTGAGAAAATCTCACCGGCCTTGAAACAAGATGTCAGGATCGAGAAGTACAAGATGAATGGTAACTACGTGATCTTGGACGAATTCCTAGCCATCGCTGATCGCGAATCTCGCAACATCGCTTTCGAGGAGAGCCAGCTGGCCCGCAAGGCGGTTGTTATTCCTGCCGAAGATCGAGGACGTAACCGCTATGCCGGAATTCTCAAGAAGGACAATTGGCGACCGAGCTCACTTGCCGGTCCCTCGACTTCCGGCACTGGCCTTTCCAATGTCTGTCTCCGTTCCCCGTCTCCGCTCGTTTCCGCAATTGTGAGCCCTGCCCTCTCGACCCCAGCTGGTGATTGCCGACTTTGTCACAAGTCCGGGCATTGGATGCGAGACTGTCCGGATGTTCTGAGGCATCGACAGATGGAAAAGAGGATCGCAGCCCTACAGTTGGACGAGGACGAAAGATCAGAAGATCTTTCAAAAAACTGTTAAGCCGTGGTAAAGACTCCCACTACAGTAAAGGCCATGATTTGTGGAAGGACTTGGAATTTGATTATCGTTCTCTATTTGGAGGACGCCAGTTTCTGGCTAATATAGAACTAGCTAGAAATGGAAATTATATCAAAACAAGTGCACATATTGATGGTGGAGCAAATATCTTTGGTGCTATTAGTACCACATTGGCCTCCCAACTTCTCTCATTGTTCCGAACCTCATTTTTCACCCTTCCTAAGCCAATTGTCCCCACTGGCTATGACGGCCATTCTGGGAAACCGATCACTTCGGCCGTCCTCCTCACACTTACCATAGATAAACGCCGTATCAACTTCCCTTTCCTGGTTACGGACCTAGGTGGTACCGACATTCTTATTGGTCAAAAGTTTTTAGAACACTACAATCTCAAGCTGGACTACGCTGGATCAAAGAATCGGATACACTGGCCAGATGACATGCCAGTTATTAATTACTATGATCGCCGATTGCTTCTCTGCATTGATAAGGCACCTCGCAATACCAACGCCGAACATCAAGCAGACGTCGCCCGACGAGACAGCCAGATGGAAGCCGCCGAGAAAGCAGATCTCTCGGGGGTGCAGCTTACCAGTGACCCCAGATCACTAATCAGTTATGCCAATGGTAAGCCACTGAGAGCCAAAAAGTTTCACATGCAACCCCAGCCTCGAAGACCATCATGCTTCTTGAGAGAAATGCGGAACCGTCTATCTAGGATGGAGGAGTAGCTCCAGAGATCAAGTCCCTACGGTCTTTCCACGAGTGATTAGAGCCATGGGCCAGAACTACCAGCCGAATTGCCCACCCAGTCTCCAGGGTCGAAACTACACAGTAAGTACTCGACCAACATTTCCATGATCTCAGCGTCATCAATGCATCGGTTCCATCTAAGAAGCCTGGCCCAAAGTTTCCGGGACTCCCATAGAAAGGAAAATTATACCTTTGTTG